TATATTAATCTTTTGTATTCTGCCTCTGGTAATTCCAAGAAGTTCTCTTCCTCCAGAGAATTTATTGATTATTTTGGGAGCTTGTGAAGCCATCATGGACTGCCTCTTTATGTGACTTGATATTGACTGTTGTCTCTGAGCCATCAATAATTTATTATAATTTTATTTTGTGTTTGCTTAGTGCGAGCTAGCTTCTTATTGTGTTTTGTTTTGATATGCCCAAATAGGCTGCTCATGTGCACTAGTTTGATTTTTGGCACCTTTTGATCTCTAATGTCCTGTCACCAGGTAGTTAGTTCTGTAACTAAGTACGTGCACACAGGAGTCCATTAAATTTTCCTATATGGGATCAGCTCGGGTGTTCAGGCAGTTGGTCACCAAGTGTGTGATGCAGGCTCTCACCCCCAGTCCTAGAGAGGCATGGGTGATTGGTGCAGGCACTGGACTCTGGCTGTGGTAGGGAATCACGTGCTGAGCCATGCAGGGGGCTGACAGCTGCCCCTGAGAGTCTGAAGGGAAAGAGTGTTCCTATTCTCTAGGGTGAATAGGTAGGTGAGTTTTGCGGCCGGGCTAAGAGCACCCCACTCTGTTGGCTGTAAAGACTCAAGGGCACCACTTTTTCTTGAACTCCTGTAGCAGGTAACTAGGCACTTTAGGAGCTACCACCAGTCCTCAAGACCCTGCTGCAGATCGATAAAAATGCCTACTTAAGGGGCAGGGCTGTTTCGAGGGTCAGAAATCTGCCAGTTCACAGCTGAAGCAGTTGAAGTTAAACTTCAGATGTTTGCCCTGTTGTACTGTGGCAGTGAGGGCTAACGTTGTTGAGATGGGTCCCCACAAGTCTATACAGGGCTGTAAGGCCCTCAGAGTCTGTAGACCCCTGATTTCTGTGGCCAGCAAAGGAGCTGTGCTGACCCTGTTTTCCTGGCCTAGAGGAGCCAGCAGGTTATTTTTTCCCTCTCCAAGGCCAGGAGAATGGGTCACGGTGCCTTTTGGGACCTACTTCTGGCCCAGCGGACTCCCGGTGCAGAGCACGGAGGGAGGAAGTAAAAGGCAGAGAGGTTTTTCCCAAATCCGGTGCAGAGCATGGAGGGAGGAGGTAAAAAAGGAGAGACGTTTTTCCCAAACGGACTTCTTTTTTTTTTAATCGCCATGAAAGCGTGCACGCATGTACTTATCATAGCCTCTTGGGAGCTGCTGTTCACTGGTTCGGGGTGTCCAAGCAGAATCTCAGCTGCTGGGTCTCTCTCGATGTGGAAACCACTTCCTGAGTGCATGCACAGCACGGCTGTTTGCCTGCTTCACTGCAGACCGGTGTGGCTGTGGCTCTGCAGTTTCGCTGCCTCGGCTCTAGCACTCCTCACCTCTTCCAAACGGTCTTCCTCTCCCGTATGACTCAGATGGATTTCTTAACCTTGCCTTGTTCAGGGCTGCCAGATGTTCACATAGAATCAAATCTCTTGTTTTTGCAGGTCTTTGTTGTAAGAGGGATATCAGAAGCGTCTAACTACTCCACCATGTTGACCACACCTCCCCTTTTCTTTATTAAATTATTTCTGTACTTTCTTTCACTGAAAAAATATTTGATCTGAAATCTGGTTTTGTTACCATCATTTCTTACACTGCATTGTTGAAGTTCACTTAAAACTCCCTAATTCTGCATGACCCTGCAACTAAATTGATTGCACTGTGAATGAACTTTTTATTCCCTTGGCTTCCACGATAGTAGTCGTCCTGCAATCTCTTATCATTTCGTCTCTGTTTTCTGTGGTAGTTACTGTCCCCTCCCATCTGGCAGCAGGCTTAGTTCTGATCATATTTGCTTCTTTATATATTGTCCCTCATCCATTCTGCAACTACTGTCTTTATGATGAATCACTTCAACATTTTTCATCTCACCTCTAATAATGCCACAATATTCTATTGTCATCCATAGGTTTTTCATTGGCTGATTTCTGGAAGTAGATTGCCAGACATTTCTTCCTAGTTTGTCTTAGTCTGGAAGCTCTGCTGAAACCTGTCCACCACAGATGACCCTGCTAGTATTTGAAATACTGGTGGCATAGCTTCCAGCCTCATAGCAACACGCAAACCACCACAGTGCAACAAATTGCCAGAAAAGTGGTGATTTTTATTATAAAGCAACCCAATTTTGTAAAAACTTCTAATGACCCTTTTCATTGCCCATTGCTTTGCTTAATGTCTACTAATTAAGATCTGTGAGATGTAGTCTTCTCCAAGTTCATACTTTGAAAAATATTTGTCTCTTCTGGCAAAGTGCTACATATTTATTTTTGCTGCCAGGAAGCACAGAACTCAGTTTTGTACTTAGATGCAGCAACTTTCTTCAGCCTTTGTTTTAGGCAAATATATTTCTGCTTCTCCCCCTCTCCTACCCATACCTCATTTGTTACTTCCTTCTTGATAGCTGCTACTTTCACTTTTATAGTTTTAATGTATGCCACCACAAATTCTTTCAAGATAGGATATAAATTATCCACATAAACATGCAGTCAGTAAACGCAGTGATGTGGAGAAAACGTTGAAGAGAAATATGCCATCCATCAGTGCCTTTACATGAGATGTTGGCCAATAATACTTAGCAGCATTTATAAGAGACAGATTGGCTCAGTATAGAAACAGTGACATGAGATAAAGGGATGATGACTATGAATAATGGCCTTAATCCTGTCTGACTTTCTAGACCTTTCACATGCTCATTCTTTTTGACACTGCTAACTTAAAATTATTTGAAATGTCCATGAAATTCTTCACTCTCCTGGCCTTTATAATATTCCCAATTGTAGTTCTTACTCGAAACCAAAAAAACCTGTTGACATTGAGTTGATTCCAACTCATAGTGACCCTATAAGACAGAGTAGAACTGCCGCATAGGGTTTCCAAGGAACAGCTGAAAGATTTGAACTGCTGACTTTTTGGTTAACAGCCAAGCTCTTAACAACTGTGCCACCAGGGCTCCAGTTGTCTTATATCTCCTACTCTTTCCTAGCCTATGTACTATATGGTTATTTGGTGGTGGTTTTTTTTTTTTTTTTTTTTTTTTTTTTTTTTTTGCTAGATCAGAGTAAACCAAATGTAGCCAGAATGAAAAGACTTGAGAGGGCTATCTGTGTGAATATAGGCAAAGTGCCCCCTTTATGCTCCTGTAAATTAGTAGGAGAGACTGTAGAAAGTTGCAAGTCTTTCCTTTTGCAGGTGGGGGTCATATTGAAACTTGAGTCATCACTGCCAATTTTCAAAGGCTGATAAGAAAACTCAAGTGACACCCTTAGAGATGAGGAAATCCTCCTTAGCTGAGACGGTGGTGGAGGCAGAATCTAAGTCTTCTAACTCCTAGCTAAAAGCGCTTTCAAAACAGACCATTAAATACCACCATGTAAGGGCTTTTCTGTGTCTGCTACACTGCTAGATGCTTAATCCAGGCTATTTACTTCTCAGTACATCCCCATGAGGTATATATATTTAACCCAATTTTATACATGAAGAAACTACAAAAAAAAAAAAAAAAAAAACAAAGTGGTTAGGTAGAAAGCCCCCCAAACAATTTTCAAATCCTAATCCCTGGAACCTATGAACGTGTTGATTTACATGTCAAAGGGACTTTGCAAACATGATTAAATTAATGATCTTGAAATGGGAAGATTATTCTGGATTATCTAGGTGGCTTCAATGTAATAACAATGGTACTCATAAAAAGGGGGCAGGAGAGTCAGAGACAAAGAAGGAAATGTGATGACAGAAGCGGAGGTCAGAGAAAGATTTGAATATGCTAAGCTGCTGGCTTTAAAAATGGAGGAAGGGCCCACAAGTCATGTGCCTACAAGGAAGACCAATTAATATGACTGGTATTCAAATTTATGCAGCAACCACTAAGGCCAAAGATGAAGATTTTTACCAACTTCTGCAGTCTGAAATTGATCAAACATGCAATCAAGCTGCATTGAT